TAATGGAAAAACGCTTTTGGAACAGGATCTTGAATATATGAATTTTGTATTGGTTGATTTTATAAAAAAGATGATGTTAGGGAAAAAATACTTACAAATTTAGTTACTTACATGCTACATCCAACAAATTAAATAATACTTACTGATGTAGATCATGATGTAGAGGCCAAGTCAGAGGGTACAGCTGATCAATTTCTTTATATCTCTAGTTTAATAATAAGTTTAAAAATTAATTTGCTTGGTCTGGGTGGGTCACCACCAACAGATCGGTGTGGATCTCTCGGCAACACTGGATCCTATTTTTCCCCTAAGTTCTTCCTTCTCGTCCCATATATTTTCTCGCCAAACATTATCATTTTTCTTCTTCATTTATTTGATCTATCTCGCTAATAAAATTATTTAAAAATTCGTTGATCAGATAAATTTTTTAGGGTTTTTTAGCCTGCTGCAATTCTGCAACTCTCAGTGGTTTACAAATATTAAAACACTCATATTCAATCATTGAACAATTAGCCATCCACAAGCAAGCTAAGATTAATCCAGTAGGCAATGGCCAATAGTCCATAAAACAAATGCAAAGCTGGTCCAGCAAGTAATTCCACTGAACCAACTTAAAGTCACCAGGCAAAACTGAATGTACCTCCACGAGAACTCACTTGTCAGGAGAAGTTCAAAGGGAAACATGAATAAGCAGGCAGCCATGAATCACACATGTTCCCAGAAACACCTCCTTCTGCCTGCCATGCCAAATAGCTTCCTGGTGCAGCCCATCAAGAGGAGTGGGGCCTTCTGCCAAGTAATCTGGAAGACCTCCTTTTCTCTACCCTGTGTGCTCTGAGATCCACCATGGAAGGCAGCTCTTCCCCATCCTCTTCACTGACCTGCAAGCTGTCCCCTGCAAGCTGTCCCCATCCTCTTCACTGACCTGCAAGCTGAAACCTGTAGTTCTCTTTCTGCTGGCGGTTCAGGGTCATGATTATTAACCCCGTTTCCAATGTGCTCCTCCTCCCTTGAGCAGATCTCCAAGAAAGAGTCAGAGGAATCATCCAAGTGAGCCCTTTGACCTGATTATCAAACTATGCACTTACCACTAATGATATAAATCAGATTTAAGTTCTGTTAACAGAATAAAACACATCTGGCTTGATTCACACGTCATGTTTAAACTATAAACTACAGCTTGCAGATAAAGTGGGCTAAAGTGCCAATTTCATAGTTAAACAAACCAACAAACCAAACATGCTCTATGTGAATTCAATCCAAGTGTCAGTGCTAAATTCAGTTTGCAAGATACTTACAAGGTAGTCGTCCCATGCTTTAATGCTTTAATGCACATTGGGTTATCCTCTGAAGATTTGGCTTTCAGCACTATTAAACCTGCTTACAAGGGTAAAGATCAGAGCTGGGATCCTCCAGACAATTTATGAGAAACCATATTTAAGGTTGAGAGGTTATGGAACATGGAGTCACAACTATCAGACCACATCCAACTAGAAATCCAGGCCACTAAAGTCATTTGGGGCCAGAGATCAATTTAGACCCGTGTTGGCGAACCTATGCCATGCGTGCCACAGGTGGCACGCACAGCCATTTGTGCTGGCACGCAAGCTGCAGGCAAACTTATCTCACTGTCCATGTGCGCGTCTCACAGCTGATTTTTGGCCAGTTTGAGGCCTTTTTCGGCCTCCCAAAGGCTTGAGGAAGGCTTTTGCAGGCTTCTTCAACTTTGTAGGCCGAAATCTAGCCCCATTTCATCACTTCCGTTTTTTTTTTGGAAAAACAGGAAGTGACAAAACGGGGCTAGATTTCGGCCTACAAAGCACTGATCTAGACCATTGTCTCCACCAAGGGTGTGGGAATACTATCCAGACCCAAAATCAATTCAGTTTCTAGATCTGTGGGTTGATCCTTCATTTTTTGATTTTAACAAGCTCTATGAAGCTGATTACCACAATGTCAGGGCCAAGCCTAGAGATGACTGGAACGGGACAACTTGGTGGGTGGCTTGGTGCAGGTGGATAACCACAACCCATTGCCATACAACAAAGTGGGGAGGGTATAACATCTGGAACAATTTATTACATGTAAAAATGCCTGAATATGAAAAATATCTGATTATCCCCTCCCTTCCACCCATCCCTTGGCACATCAGGACTCAAATCCAAGAAGGCATTTGGCAAAATCATAAGAAAAATCCACATACAACACTTTCAATATCTTGCTCAAGGAGGATGCATGTGTCATAGAATAATTCTCAAGTACTTTCTATTTCATTCATTTCCTTTTCCAGATGGTAATGCTGTAAAACTTGAACAAGCTTGAAAAATGCTTGAAAAAGCAAAACAAGACACCCCCTGACTTGTATAAGAGCTACTGATAAAAATATCTGATATTGAACACGCACACAGATAAGCACTGGTCAAAACTGCATCAAGTTACATCCATGAAGCTGGCAACAACATGGAAATGGTTTGCCATAACCTTCCAATCTCTTATTGACTTGGGTCGTCAAAATGTTTGTGCAATCATTTTTATCTGAAATAATGAACTTTGTGGTTACAGTTAAATATTTGCCAGCATCTATTTGAATAAGTTAGCAATTAACTAACTGAACCCCTGCATAAATAGAATTTATAACATTTCTAAAGCTTTACAATTACTAACCCAATATTTAGAATTTGGTTGTCTCTTCAGAAAACTATTATAGATCTTGGTGATATCCAAACACTTATCACTATCTATTAAGTAATGCAAATTAAGTAATGCAGTGCAATCAAAGACGGTGGCAGGAAGACTGAGGGCGCAATGGTTAGAATGCAATATTTCAGGCTAACTCTGCTTACTGCCAGGAGTTTGGTTCTGACCAGCTCAAGGTTGACGCAGCCTTCCATCTTTCTGAGATTGATAAGAAGAGGACCTAGATTGTTGGGGACAATATGCCTAATATAAGCCCTATCCCCAAAATCAGCCCTATTTAAGAGCTTGCACAATCATCCAGCCACCCATTCCATCTGGTTGCTCCTGGTGCCGTGACCATGAGGTGAGGCAGAAGGATGATGGAACTGCCCCATGTGCCCAACACCAGCTTACCTCAGGGCCCCCACAGCCAGGCCCCAACACCTGCCTCATAGCAGCAGCAGCAGCGGCAGCAGCAGCAGCAGCCATGTGCAGCAGGAGCCCATGTGGCCGCCGGCCCACTTCTGCTTGCTTGCAGAGGAGGCCGAGTGGTGTGCTGGTGCTGTGGCCATGAGGCAAGGCAGGTGTTGGGGCATGGATGGCCTGGCTGCTGGGGCCCTGAGGTAAGGGTGGAATGCGTGGGGGCAGGTCCATTCCCCCATCTCACCTCATGGCCACGTCACCAGTGCATTGTGTGGCCTCTTGCTCTGTTGCAGGTGCAAGCAAGCAAAAGAAGTAGGCCGGCAGCCACTTGGGGTCCTGCTGGACAGGGCTGTCATAGTCATTGCCACAAAGTGGCCTGGCTACAGGGTCCCTAAGATAAGCTGGTCCAGAGGTAATGGTGCAACTCCAATCTCCCACTTTGTGGTAATTGCACTGGTGCACTGTGTGGGCTGTACATGGGGGAAAATATAAGACACTTCCCCAAAATAAGCCCTACTGCTTATTTTGGGGCCCAAAAGAAAATAAGACCTTAATGGAACTCCATCTACATGGAGGGAAGTATGCAGTGGGGACCCCAAGACTCTGTCTTAGACCCAGTAGTCTTTAACATCTTCAACAATGGTTTAGACAAGGGGATAGCAGGGAAATTTGCAAATGACACCAAGCTGACAGGAATACCCAATATTCCAGAAGATACAGACTCAAGATACAAAAGGATATTGACAGACTTGAACACTGGGTCCTTTCTCACAAAATGAAATTTAACATAGAGAAAAGTAAGGTTTTACATCTAGGCAAGAAAAATCAAACACACTGGTGCAGAATAAAATGGTACCTGGCTCAACAGTAATAACTCTGAGAGAGATCTTGGAGTCTAGTGAGCATTCACTTCAATATGAACCAGCAGTGTGCTGCAGACTAAAATCTGTGCCTGCCCTGAAAAAGTTCTGCTGCTCACATGGGAAACAATCAAAATAGCTGAGGAGAAGGAGGGGGGAGGGAGGGGGGGGAGGAGGAGGAGGAGGAGGAGGAGGAGGAAGGCTGCAGCTTCCAAAAAAACCAACTAGAGGGATAGAATGAAGTTCACTTGAAGTATTAATAACACTTTGTAATCCCTTGGAATATTGCATCCAGTTTGGGTCACCATAATATAAAAATAGGTTGAGACTCTAGAAAAAGTGCAGAGAAAAGCAACAAGGATGATTAGGGGACTGGAAGATAAACGTATGAAGAATGGCTGCAGGAATTGGGTATGTCTAGTTTAATGAAAAGAAGGACTGGGGATGATATGATAGCAGTGTTTCAATATCTAAGGGGCTTCTACAAAGAAGAGGGAATCAACCTCCTCTCCAAAGCCCCTGAAGACAGGACAAGAAGCAATGGATGGAAACTAATCAAGCAGAGAAGCAACCTAGAACTAAGGAGAAATTTCCTGACAGTTAGAACAATTAATTAGTTTGCCTCCAGAACTGGAGGTTTTTAAGAAGGGGTTGGACAACCAAATGATATAGGGTCTTCTGGTTGAGCAGGGGATTGGACTAGAAGAACCCCCCGCCCCCAAAGTCCCTTCCAACTCTGTTATTCTGAATTGAGTTGAGTGACGGTCCTCCAAGAGGACCATTGCCTCTTTAAGAACCAGTGGGGTCATTCCTTCTTTTATGGAGGAGTTCATTACCACCCACACCAATCCTGCATTCCTTTCCACACAGCCAGGAGGGACATGGATCTAACCGACAAGTGACTAAGTAGCAGCAGACAGGGTCCTGTCCACCTCCACAATTAGACGGTGGGAGTGAGTGACAGTAGTGATGTGTAAGATATGTTTCCATCTTTTCTCCATTGTTATGGATGACCTAATGTAAAGCTGTATCAAATTGCAGGATCTGAGAAGTTCTGTACTGAAAATATGCAACTTCCTAGGAAAAAAACTAACTGGAAAGGAGGTGGATGATGTGGTGGATAAAGCTACATTTGATAACATGAAAGTGGATTCTAGAGCAAACTACACATTCATGCCTCCTGACATTGTAGATTGCAGAAAAGGAGGCTTTCTTCGCAAAGGTAAATCAATAGTAATTCACACTCTGGTTTTTATATATCAGCCTTCATCTTAAACCAGGATTACTGCCTTCATTTGAAAGACACCTCCTTAAGTGATATAAATGTGTCCTAACAACCACTCTATCTGCTGCTGTCAATGATATTGTGCTAGTCTCATCACCAGCCTACATCTGAGGCAGCCATAGGTCTTTCTTAGATATACCAATGTTAAACAGAGGTGGTATTCAGCAGGTTCTGAGCAGTTCTGAAGAACCAGTAGCGGAAATTTTGAGTAGTTCAGAGAACCAGCAAATCCCACCTCTGACTGGCTCTGCCCCCATCTATTTTCTGCCTCCCAAGTCCCAGCTGATTGGCTGGGTCTTCTTTTGTTGCCCTGCACAGGAGAGTGGAGCTGGAAAGCAGGTTAGTGGAGTGGGGAGGGGAGGGGATTTTGCAATAATCTTCCCCCTGGACTGGGATGGGAATGGAGATTCTACAGTATCCTTCCCCTGCCACGCCCACCAAGCCATGCCCACCAAGCCACACCCACAGAACCAGTAGTAAAAAAAATTGAATCCCACCACTGATGTTAAAGTAGTGTTTTTGTCACTATGGCAGATTTTTGGCATGGATATAATCTGACTGTCTGAATGATCAGTCTGTTGCCTGAATAGTCTAATGATCCTTTGGGAATGGGATTGTTCTAGCTCACACTGGTCTCTTTAGGGTGAGGGTGGTATAAACTCTTCACATTCTACCATGGACACTGTCCTTCTCCACTCTTAGAACTGCCTCCTTTAAGCCTGTAGGTTTAAAGGATGACATAGCCTCTAGTTTAATTGAATACGAAAACTGATGACATATTTTTAACCATTGTTTCCCAGGTACTATTGGGGACTGGAAGAACCTCATGACTGTTGCCCAGAATGAAAAGTTTGACCGTGTCTTTAAGGAGAGGATGGAAAAGCTGCCCTTCAAATTCTGCTGGGATATTCAGGAGGATCCTCAGCCTATTTCCAGTTCAGTGGAGGAAAATAATGTGTGATCTACACTTCCAAATGGCTTGAATCAGAGATGACCTCCCAAGAACGGTCTTTGAATAACCTTGTAATGTTTCATTCTCAACTTTAAGGAGATGATAGAACAAAGTAACCTCAAATTCTTTGCTATTAGTAAAATAGAAACTGCAGAGCACCGTTAAAAGTACTTTTCTTTGAAATTCTTACTGTCGTCTGTATTTTTTTTATTCTAGAAATGAGGGAAAACAGACTAGAGTTCCAGCGTTTGATGTCCAGCTAGGTCCTACACATACTTACCATATATTACAATTTGCCTAATCCCAGTATGGGTTTTCTTATGCAGTTGAGGGCCTTTCTTCATTGCCTTGAGTCAGAAGTAGAACTGTACTGGTATAAATAAAGATTCTCTAGAGGCTTGTCTTGCCTTGACCATCTGAATCATAATACAATGAAGGGGTGAGGGATAGCTCTTGAACAAGCAAAATTTGAATTAAATAATCAGTCCATTTGTACTGGACAAACATCTTTGCAATATATGATTCAGCTAGTTGTTCCTACACCAATAGAGCACCTTAACGTGTGGAAAATTCAGCCATATGGCAAGCTATGCCTTCGAGCAACATCTTGCAAAGACAGATCTTGTAATGCCAGAAGGAGAAGTGGTGCCAACAGGAGGGCAGGTGACAATACCTCTAAGCATAGGGATCACAGTTCCCTATGGCATTTATGGGTGAATTGCACTGTATTCCTTAAAGGAATACAAGTGTTAGGAGGATGATAGGTGCTAATTATCAAGGGGAAGTAAAGAGGCTTTTGCACAATATTAGCGTATGCAGGATGTAGTCCTTCCAGGAGGACACTGTAGAGCTCAGCTAATTTGTGAAAAATTAAGTTTACCAGTTGTCTAAGGAATAGTAGGTCCAAGCCAGTTTAGAAGCAGAAGGGACAAAGAGTTTGGATCAACAGATAATGACCTCTTTCCAAGACAAAAGCTCTGTGTAATGTATCCTAATCAACCAAATAAAACTGGAGAGGGTTTAAGTAAATGGCCAGGAGCTATTCGTTGAGTTTTACTGGCCAATAATACTTCTCCAATATGTTTCATTGTATTCAAGTTAAAACATAAATAATAATATGTTTTCATTTCTGAGGTATCTATCTGAGGTTTGTATCTTGGAAAAAGCATCTGTGAATACACCTTATTATGATGAAGCAAATTGCTTTTATTTTTTAAACATAGCCAGCAGAGGGAGCTCCCAATCCTGGCTGTGGAGATAATATAAAAAAAGATGTGGTGGCATACTTTCACTTGCTAAGGGAAGAGTTTTGTCAAGATGCTGCTATATTGATCTCTTTCTTTTGCTTTTCCTTATTTGGATCTTCGGGGCAATCTGAGTTAATTTTGTATACATTTGCAAATATCAGACTTACTCCAGTTGGCTCCTTTCTGTTTCCAACCCTTAAATGCTCTCATGATTTCAAGTTTCCTTCTTTAGCTACCATATATTTTGTACCTTAAGTAGGTTGTTCATATTGCATTACACACTTACAGTCTTACCTTTTTCATTTCTTTATAAGAAAGGAAGAGAATATTGAAATCATCTTTATGAGCATACCACAGCTACATGGTCCACAGCCACTCACTTTTGCTAGGGTTGAGTCGGAGCCTGTTTTGCCCCATCTAGATCTGAACAGCCTCCAAACACTGGAATAAGATGCCCACAGCATTGCTCATGGTGTCTGGAATAGAAGTATAAAGCTAACACATATTGATATTTTTGCCCAAACTGGAAGATCTCCACACCCATTGGCTTTGTATATATGTTAAACAGAAGAGGGGAGAGCCCTGAGGCAAAGTAGGGGTGTGGGCTGGATCTCTCCCTCCTATCAACACCAGTTGGAACTGATTATATATGTTTTCTTAAGTTTTTGCGGGTATTTATATGTATGGTATTCAGCTTTGTTCGGGTATTTTCCCACATCTTTATAGTTGTGCTTTTAAAGTTGTAAGCGACGTTTCAGCAGAATCTCCTCTGCCATCATCAGGCTCGTGTGCTGGGTTCGTCTTTGTCATGTGTGTCAGGCTTTTGCAGCAGTTTCTGTTTTAAATTTGGTGCTAGCCTCGTGCTTTGTTTGAATGGTTTTTTTCTTCATCCTGATTGGTTGGGAGTCTTGGTCTATGTTTATTGGTCTTGGAGTTGGCTGTGTTCTGCTTGATTGGTGTTTGTAATATCTTCTGTCTGTTTTGTAGTGTTTTTTTGTCTTGATTAGCTGGCAACATTGTGTTTTGTGTATAGGGGGCTTTCAGCACAGCTTGGCTTCAGGTGAATGGCCGGCTGTCATTTATTAGGAAGCTAGATTTCATCTGGGTGGTTGGCTGGGGTGTGTTTGGGCTGGAGGTATCGGGTGTGTGTGTGTGTGTGTGTTTGTGCTCAGGTGTTTGTTTGGCTTGTGGTGTGCAGATTTTTTTTTTGTCAGTGCAGGCTTCCAGATAATTGACAGTCTGGTGGAGTCATCTCTTCTATTCATGCTTTCAGGTCATTTTTCAATCTCTATGGCTTTTCTGATAATTCTGTAACTGGGGTTTTCTACTGTGGCTAGGGTTTTGGTGGCACTGAAGTTGATGCTATGACCTGTGGCTTTCATGTGTTGGACTAGTGAGGAAGTGTGTTCCAGCTTTTTTACTGCATTCTTGTGTTCATCAAGGTGGGTACTTATTCTTCTATTGGTCTGTCCGATGTATCTGGCAGGGCATGATGCGCAGGGAACTTCATATATGCCTTGGTTTTCCAGGTCAATTTTATCTTTGGGGTTTCTTAAGATGGCTGCTATTTTTCTGTCTGTTTTGAAGGCAGTCTTGATGTGATACCCGTAGAGTTGTAATTGCAGGAATGTTCCAATCTCAGATGGCAAACCTCAGATAAAGAATGTTTCCAAGCAAATACAACGCAGGTAAACAAAGTCTAAAGAAGGATTAAAGAGAAGAAGTAAACGTATGTTAGACTTTAACTAGAGATAATTAATTACTGTGCTAAACAGTAACAAAAGTTAAGTAGTAACCAAAGTTAACTAATGATGGAGGATAACTAAAAATGTATATAAATGCAAGACTAGACTCCAATAAAGATCATCATGATTCAGTTGTTCATAATCAAACAACTCGACTGCATCGTCATTACAACAAGTGGTGCTTGAACAGGGACCCTCTTACTTCGTCCGGCAAGGATTTGGTGCACCTTCAGCTCTTTGTGGTTTCTTCAACCTTTTGGTTTCTGTAAGTATGGGGTCTTCGCTTTCTGAGGAACAAAGGAAGCATGTAGATGAATTAGGCTATTTGTTGAAGAAAAATAATATTGAGGTACCACAGAGAAATCTCTTAAGGCTGGTCCAGGAGATTGCAGCTCAGTGCCTATGGTACCCAGAAAAGGGGTCTTTAAAATTAACTGATTGGGAACGTATAGGGAAAACATTGCATACTGAACCTCGAGCAAAAATAGAAGTTTTGCATGTGTGGCATTTATGTAGGCATGCAATTGAAAAATTTGGTCACAATGAACTTTCTCTTTTAACACCTCCACCTTCACATTATACTAATGCTGTCATTTGTCCCCCTTCTTCACCTGAATATATGTCTTCAATTCCCTCAGCTCCTGCAGATACAGGGCAAAAGCCTCCTGACTCTATTGTTCAGTCTTCTTTTCAGAAAATGGTTGAAAATTGTAAAAAGGATGCCTCTGTCTCTACTGCTCATTACACTCTGGCAGATATGCTGCGAGTCTGCCAGGATATTGGAACATTCCTGCAATTACAACTCTACAGATACCTGTGTAGTATCTTACTGATTGTGTCTGTTGTACCTCTTATGTAGGGCAGGACAGCTATTCCATAGGTCTGTTCATCTTCTAGGTCTTTATTGTGCCTCAGTGTGTTTTTGTGCATCAGACCCCTGATTTTGCTTTTGTGGAAGACGTTGGCTGTCAGTACTTTGGTCAGGGTGCATAGTTCAGTCTTTATATGTGCCTTGTCTGCCTGGTGTTTGGTTCTGGCAATTAGTGTTTTACAGACAGAAATATCTATCTATATCTATCTATATCTATATCTATATCTATATCTATATCTATATCTATATCT